AAATGTCTAATCTTATGTCATATAAATTTCACTCTAAAATTTTTTAAATGTAATGAGTAAGAATTATAGAAGGAAATATTTAACTATGGAAAACATTAATATTTAAAAAAAACACCCAGGTGTGGTAGCACACACCTGTAATCCGAGCACTTGGGATGCTGAAGTAAGAGGATCCCCTCAAATTTGAAGGTAGCCTGGGCTACACAAGTGAGTTCAAGACCAGCCTGCACTACATGGTGAGACCTTGTCTCTAAAAACAAAAAGAGAGAAATTCGTTGCAGTAAGTCTAGGAATATTGGGCTAGGGATATAACTTAGCAGCACAGTGCCTGCCTGGCGAGCACAAGGAATATAAGATATAAACAAGAGATATTACATTCCCAACCAGACTCTCTTCACTGGACACCCACAGTGAATTACATAATTTCTCTGTTCTTCATCAGCAAAATGGGGTATGACCTCCCACTCTGGGGTTACTGTGAAGATTAAAAGATAATATGTTTTTTAAAAATTGATAGCTAACACTAATTGTTGCAGTTCAAGTACTGTGCAAGGGACTTTAAGTATATTACCTAAGACAAAATGTTTATCTGTATGCCTAAGACACAGAATCAGTATGTGCATTGGCGTGCTTTGTTTCTCCACTCCTCTGCCTGGTTGCTTCCCTCAGTTCTCTTGGGTGTATAAATAGGAGAAGAAATGCTGAGTCATAGGATAACTCTAACATTTTTGGTTTTTGGGTTTTTTGTTTTTTTTTTTTTTTTTTTTTTTGAGACAGGGTCTTGCAGTGCAGGTCAGGCTTGCATGTGTAATGTCCTGGGTTAAACCCCTAGCAATGCAAGGATAAATACATTACATTAATTAAATAAAAACCTACATATGTATTACATTCCTATGGTACAAAATTAAAGAGGTACAAAAGAGGAAAAAAGCTTTTCGTTTACCAGCAGTCTAGGTCCTTTCCTGGGAGCAATCAATATTCTGTTTATTGCTAGGATTCTGTTTCCTCCTAGAGCTAGCCAAAGCTTCGAGAGGTAGTGTCAGGTCCTGAGACACCCTTCCCCGCTGTACTCTTTCTTCTTTTTCTTAGTTTTTTCTATTATTTTTATAGAAGTAGAAGCACACTAGACTTTCTTGTTTTTTATGTGTCAATTTCTCTTTGAGAGGATTCTACTCACTGTGTATAGATCCGCCACATTAAAAACAAACAGTGGCTTTGTGGGTGGAGCTCACTTTGGAAAGCCCTATGTTCAGTCCTCAGTACCAACAAACAAATCCCTGCTTCACATTCCATTGGGTAGGTGTGAAATTTTTTGGAGTCTCCTATTGATTTGTAGGTTTGTTTACAATGAGCAATGGTTTTTTACATATTCATTTCACTTATGTACAAAAATCTTACTAGAAGTATAAGCAGGTGCTTAATTTCAATTAATAGGGCCCCAACTTTCTTTGGGTTGCTGTTGAGGTCTTTTTTCCCAGGGTATCTCTAATTCACCTTTTTGCTATTGGATGCTTTCACATAATTCCTAAGTCAAGAGCTTAGCCAAGGGGGCTGGGGATTTAGCTCAGCGGCATAAGCGCCTGCCTTGCAAGCAGGCAGTCGCGAGTTCGATCCCCGGTACCGATAAAAAAAAGAAAAAGACAAAAAAAAAAAAAAAAAAAAAAAAAAAAAGCTTAGCCAAGAAAACAAATCCTTCACTGAGAAAATCTGTCACAAATGGGGTCATAAATTACAGAGAGACATTCACCTAGAGTGAAGGAAGTTTTAAAAGGAGTTTGTGTCTTATATTTTACTAACAGTGTAAAATCATCCTGTCTGGGGATATGGCTCAAAGTAACATGTGCAAGGTCCTGAGCATGAACACAATGACAAGAAGACGACACTGAAGACAACAACAAAGATAGTAAAGGGAATGATCGAGGTGCCACAAAAGTAAGAGGCTGCTTTGGCTCCTTAGATTTAAAATTGGAACCTGTGCAAAGAAGCAGAGAGAGACCTGGGCGGGGCTCTCCCAGGAGCGCTTCTGTTTACAGTGATAAGCAGTCAACTTGCACAAGTGAAAATGAAAGAAGGAATGAGACACAACTTACCTTTATTTTCATGATTATTGCAAATTTTCACGACTGTTTCCTAGACTCAAAAAACCAGAAGTGTATGAGGACAGAAAGGAATATACAAATGTAAAAGGGAAAAAAAAAAAAAAGCAAGCAAACAATACTACCAAAGTTCAAGACACAAAATGCTACCGTCCTTTTTTGAGACAGGGTCTCTGGAGCCCAGGCTGGCCTCAAACTCATAGTGATTCTCCCGCCTCAGCCTCCTGAGTGCTGGGATTACACCAGTGTACCACCATGCCTGGAACAAAATGCTATTTTAATGTAAAACAAGCAAGTTTTTTCAATGTTTAGATGAACACAAGGCTTTATGTGTCCTAGGCAGACACTCTTCCACGGAGCAACACTCCCACATCCCACCACACATTGCTTCTGGAAAGGAAACATACGAAAAGTGGAACACAAGAAGTATAGTGAATACATGGTAAAAAGTGAGTCTACCTGGGGCTGGGGATATAGCTCAGTGTAGAATACTTGTTTAGCATGTACAAGGCCCTGGGCTCAATCCCCAGTACTGCCAAACAAACAAACAAAAGCAGACCTAAAAGGAAGCCCTAAGCTATCCGGTACTAGCTCTCATGCAGTCACTGTGCCATGGGGCATTAGAATCTCAGGTAAGAATAAAAAGGAGCACTGATCACTGAGAACTACTTAAAGAATTATTGTATGTCTGCTGGACACAATAGAGCATACCTATAATACCGAGAGAGAGAGAGAGAGAGAGAGAGAGAGAGAGAGAGAGAGGCTGACGCAGGAGGATCCCTGTGGATTTGAGTCAAAGTTGGGCTACACAGTGAATTCAAGGGCAGGCTGAACTATATCATAAGATCCTATCTCAAGGAAAAGAAAGAAGGAAAGAAAAGAGAAAGAAATGTATATCTGGCTCCATTTTTTTTGTTTTGTTTTGTTTTGTTTTGTTTCTCATCACCATTGCTGGGGACTGAACCCAGGGCCTCAGGGATACATCTGCTGGACAGTGAGCTACACTCCTAGCCTTCTCCTGCTATTTAACAATAGTTTTGAAAGACCTGATTGCTTGAAGAATTCCATAATACTACAGAAAGCACATGGCTTCCACAGCATTTATCTTGTTTCCCTGCTTCCTGAATTTAACGCTACCCTTTTAGGTCTTTAAATGTTCACATTTGTCTTCCCTACAGTTTCAACTTAGGCTTCTCAGGGTCCCAGCTCCCCTCCCTTCATCAGTGTCCCCACTACAAGCACACCCTTCTCATCCCCCAAGAAAGTTAAACTCAAGTATTGGCCAGTGAATATTCAGCATTCACATTACTAAGCTTATGTCATTTCTATTCATAGCTCTGATTTTTCCTTGTTCACGTCTTACTTTTTTTGTTTCTCTGTAGATAATGATTGTTTTATTTGCTGGTTTCCTAGTACTTATACAATTTCAACAGTTTCTATTCCAATTCTTCATGATTTGACACTTAAGAGTGCAATATTTAAACTGGGCATGGTGATGCCCGGGTACTGCCAGCTATTTTGGAAATTGCAACAGGAGGATCCCCTGAACTCAAGAGTTAGAGACCAGCCTAGCAACACAGTGACACTTAAAGAGTCCCCATAGCCTCATCGGTCATTCATTCATTCAATTGGCCAATAGAAAAAAAATATGGTATAATATTTAGTCAAAATCTTACTGTATTATCCCTAATAGTGAATACTTGAAGAAACTCATGATCTACCAAGGAACTGGTTAAATATATGACAATATTCCCATATCTGAAAAATTGATTAGCAACCATTGATGCCTGAACTAAACTGAGCCTTTTATCACTAACATTATGGATACCTGTAACTCTTTTTTGTTTGTTTTTGAGGCAGGATCTCCTGTATAATGCAGGATGGCTTCAAGCTCAGCGATCCACCTGCCTCAGCCTCCCAAGCACTAGGATTATAAGCATGAGTCACCATGCCTGGCACCTGTATTTCTTTAATATTTGACAATGAGTATACACTTTTGTAATCAAAGAACATAAGTAGAGTAATCTGAATCATATTTTGTTTATAGTTATTCACATTACCAACCATATTTTAAAATGGTTTATCTTTCTTAGTTGCTGGGGAAAAAAAAAATCTGAATTCTTTTTCCTTAGTCACATAAATTTGCCAGTAATGTTAAAAGAGAACCTAAAGTGATTCAAATTTGGAGGAAGGAAAACCAGACGTCTCATAATACACCTAAAGGAAAAATTTTTCAAAAATGAGTGAAAAGAGAGTGACAGGGCTGGGGATGTAGCTCAGCGGCATAAGCGCCTGCCTTGCAAGCAGGCAGTCGTGTGTTCGATCCCTGGTACCGATAATAAAAAAAAAAGAGAGAGAGTGATTGTAAAAGAAGCATTCGCTTATGCCACACCAAATACTAAACCACAGACAGTAAAATGCTTTAATTTCGGTCCCGGACAGCTGCAGGATTGAGCAGCAGATAAAAAGAGACAAAGAGACACGTGCAGGCAGGCGCAGCTAGCCCAGAGCACAAGCTGGATAGAGGTCGCTTAACCAATCAACTCTTTGGCCTCCACGGGTCCTGTCTGCTTAAAAACTCCCGCCCTTCGGTCCCTACAAGGGGTTGGGTTTAGCCTAACAGAGCTCGGCTTTTCGAGCCGCATCACACGCACCCTTTCATCAGCCCACGCCTACGGAAATGCCTAGGTCTAGAGAGCCGCTGTCCCAAGGCTCTGGAGTCGGTTCGCGGACGCGTGAGGGACAGTGCACCACACAGTTGATGTACTCGTTAGGAAAATAAACCCACGCAAGTCATACAGCCCGCGCTCCAAGCGCCGCGGGCCCGCGAGCGTCTAGGGTCCAAGCGGTGTCCCCCGGGCCGCGCCTGTCTCCACCCTGGCCCGCCGGGCGGGAAGCACGCACCGAGACGAGCGGGACGCGCAGCCGATCCCCCTGCAGCCGGTTGAAGGCGGGGAACGTGCTCCAGGCGAGGAAGCCGCCCTGCTCGGGTTGCAGTAGGGCCACGAGCAGCACCTGGTGCAGGAAGCGCACAGTCGGCTGCTCCTCGTAGCTGCTGCGCTTCAGCCAAAACCCTGAGTTAGAAAGGGCGGCGAGAAGAGGTCAGGAGGCCCGGCCGGGGCAGCGGGCCGCGGGGAGCAGTGCCGCGCGCCGGCCGGGGCAGGCTCACCGTGGCTCCGGTAGGCCACCAGCAGCGGCGGGATGTAGGTGAGCACGGCGGCCAGCAGCAGGAAAAGCGCGGCCTTGGAGCAAAGCCCGGCGCGGTAACCGCGCTCGGCCGGGTGAGAGAAAAGCTCGTAGAGCGCCATGAACACTGCGCACTGTCGGCCGGCTAGCCGCGTTTCCAAAGGAATGACCAAGTTTGGCTTCTCCTGGTTGCCATCGCCGTGGTCTCCACGGCAACCGACTGCCGGAGAGGAACCAATAGGAAAGACTCAGGGCCCTAGCAGGGGTGGGACAAACGGAGGCGGAGGTTTACGTGGTGCGTGCTTCTGAGACAGAGAAGCAGCACTTTGCGAGTCGCTAAGGTGTTACACTCGTGTAAAATGTTCATTAAAAGTTGACCTGAATTATGAATCTTAATGGTCATCTTAACTTCAAGTACGGTTTATACTGAAGTCTAGCTGTTCACATTAACCAGGGCTGAGACAAAAGGCCAGGGAGCTTTGCCTCCCGATTGTTTCCGGATGTTCCACAGCGGGGTAGCCAGGGAAGCAGGTCGCAACTCCTGGTGCTGGGAGGAACATAGGGTATTTGCCACATTTCCTTGTCAAGTTATTTGGCTGTTTTCCGAGAAAACTATGGTTCTGCTTAACACTAATCTAATGTTACCCCTTACCTTTAACTCTATCTCTAACATTTTTTTAAAAACCCGATTCATACTCGTACATGAAAAAGCCCTAATATCAGTAAGGAAACTGGTTTGTGCTTTTGAAGGTAATCCTACAAATGGCTTTTAGAGGAAGAGAACTGAGATGCTATCAATTTACACTGAGGTCTGCTCATCTGAAAAAAACTATTCCAGGGTCCTTACCACAATCTAAGGGCAGCACTCTCTGCCCGAAAATGCTTTTTACCAACCCTCTGGTCCAGTACTACTCATTCTCACTTGAAAGCTTTCATGGAGTGGCAACATACAAGGTGTGACCGAAAAATATAGGATAATGAATTCAATTCATACTATGATCCTATCTCAAAAAAGCCAAAATACAACTTTTGACCCCCAAAATCTCATACCAGATCTGGTAGTGTGAGGTCACACTACTTTTCACAACCCTAGCTTTTCATTAGATGGTGTTTGGCAACAGCATTTTTTTTTTTTTTTAACCACACTGTAAAAATATTAACAGAACTTCCAATACTGCTTCAGAAAGTGGCAGGCATGATGGAATCAGTATGAAGGAATCTGGGGAAGATTTTTGAGGGGGGATGAATGGCAGTTTGTCTTTCACTGTAGTCTTTTAAACATGCGTATTTAGAACACCCCTTGACTCTTAAAATATAAAAAACTGTTAGGTTTATGTCTGTTACTCATATATATGTATATATGTCTCGATGATGAATTATGTCTCCAGTCTGAGGCACTTCTTTGTCTTTTTCCTTTTTTTTTTTTTTAATCGGTACCAGGGATCGAACTCACGACCACCTGCTTGCACGGCAGGCACTTATGCCGCTGAGCTAAATCCCCAGCCCCAAACATTATTTTTGTTCATCCCAGAGATAGTCTCTGAAACATGTATATTCAGCATACAGTTTTTGAATTTCCGCTGTGGGAAGGTTCCATTGTGTCTTTTTTTTTTGTCTTTTTCCTTTTTATCGGTACCAGGGATCGAACTCACTACTGCCTGCTTGCAAGGCAGGCGCTTATGCCACTGAGCTAAATCCCCAGGCGGCACTTCTTATTTATTGGTTTATTGAGACAGGGTTTCACTAAATGTAGCCCAGGCCTTTAGTGTTGAGATTAAAGGCACACAACCCTATGCCAGGTTTATACCTTGTGTTAAACATAAACTTTTATTTCTTTGACTGCTAAAATAAGAGTTTTCTGGAATAGGTGGATCTACTGTAGAGTCCTTAAGGTGGTTACTTCAACAGAAGGAACCACATACTGCAGCTAAGTGACTGCTAAAACAAAGTGAAGTGAATGCCAGGAATTCAAGTGCATGAAATATTGCAGTTGTGATGTAAGGAAGCTAACCTTTGTGATTTTTCTTTCAATTACTTAAAAGAAAAGGACATTCACTCTTTTTAAAATCATGCTCTATTATCTTTAATTAAGCAGAGACCTCACCAACATATCATCTAGAAACCATTTCACCCACTGCTCTGTTTGGCCGCCAGCCTCTTATCTCTCTCTTCAGCAATGGTGAGGCGGATTCCTTTTCCTCGTGGAAGAGAAATCCACGGCTTGTTGCCTTTGCCGATGACGAAAATGTTGGAAAGCCTGGTGGCAAAGCTGTTGCCGTTGGCATCTTTCACGTGAACCACATCAAAAGAGCCAGGATGCTTCTCTCTGTTGGTGATCACACCAATTCTTCCCAAGTTAGCACCTCCGGTCACCATACACAGGTTACCAGTGTCGAACTTGATGAAATCAGTGATCTTGCCAGATGCCAAATCAATCTGGATGGTATCATTCACCTTGATGAGGGGGTCAGGGTAGCGAATGGTACGAGCATCGTGGGTCACCAGATGAGGGATTCCTTTGGTGCCCACAAAGATCTTCCTCACTTTGCACAACTTGTACTTGGCTTCCTCAGGTGTAATACGATGAACAGCAAAGCGACCCTTGGTGTCATAGATCAGACGAAAATGCTCTCCTGTCTTGTCAATGCTGATGACATCCATAAAGCCAGCAGGGTAGGTTATATCAGTTCGGACTTTGCCATCGATCTTAATGAAGCGCTGCATGCAAATCTTCTTTACTTCATCCCCTGTCAGGGCATACTTGAGTCTGTTCCTTAGGAAGATGATGAGAGGCAGACATTCTCTCAGCTTATGGGGACCGGTGGATGGTCGAGGAGCAAACACACCGGTCAATTTATCCAGCATCCAATGCTTTGGAGCTGCCACTCGCTTCAGATGCTTCTTGGGACCTCGAGCCATGGCTGAGCTGTAACAAAAAGCGCAAGAAAGTCATTCTCCTAAAAACCATTTAATAATCAGGAATGTAAGAATTCTCAAGTAAATTTAGGACTCATGCATACTTCAAGGTTTTTCAAGGCTTCCTTTACCTCAGTATTTATCTACTTTTTAGTTCCCTTGTCCTATCGAAGCCTTTGTGGGTTTTTTTTTTGGTGGTGGTGGTGGGGGGTTGTTTTGAGACAGGGTTTACTATGCAGTTCAAGTTGGCCTCAAACTCGAAGTAACCTTCTGCCTCCTGAGTGTTGGGATTACAGATGTGTGCAACCACTCCCAGGTTGGGAAGGAGAAATCTTGAGTCCAATTTCTTTTTCTTTCTTCCTTCCCCCATGCCCTATTTGAGGACTGAACTAGGACCCTATGTATGTTAGGACAGCACTACCAAATGAGCTCCACCCTCAGTTTCGAGCCCAATTTTTCAATTCTCCACTGATTCTGAATGGATATTTTCATTTTTCTCACTGTCTAGCTAAATCTCACCCAGTTTAATAATGTTACATGGTTCTCTCTTGAATTAAGACTTAGAGAGCCAGTCATCTTTCTGTATACCTCCGATGTATGTCCTGGACATCTTACACTTAATGTATCTAATACCAAACTTGATTCTCATCCATTAACTGGCTCCATTCTATTTCACTGGGAGGCACTTCCATCCTTCCAAAAACCCTTACTTTTTCCCTTCACATCTCACATCAAATCAGCAAATTTTGTCAGCTCTATCTTCAAACTATATTCAGAGTAGTTATTTTTTCCCTTATCGTCTCTTATACTATCTGAATCTAAGTCAATATTATCTTTCGACCTGGATTATCATAGTGGCTTCTTCATTAAACACAGAGCCTGTACATCCTAAGCACATGTTTACCACTGATCTACACTTCTAGCTTAGACTGATCATTTAAAAGTCAAAATGTCTTAGTATTTCTGCTTAAAAACTGCTACTTGCTAGCTGGAGGGGGAAAGTGTAAGCTTGTAAGCCCAGCACTGGGAAGACTAAGGATTGCCTCGATTCAAGAGAGCCTAGGATAATAAGTTTAAGCCCAACCTGAATTAAGAGTGAAACCCGTCTCAGTCTCAAACAGGAAAAAATAAAGAGGTGCCATACAACAATAAAACACCTCCACTTCTCACATCCTAATAAAAATACAATGTTCTTTACATAGAATTCAAAGCTTCAGTTTCATCCTGAGTTCCTTTTGATTTTGTCTCCTAATAATACTCCTCCACTTATCCAGTCCCTAGTTCATTTTTATATTCTTAGTGCATGTCACCTACTTTTATATAATTAGCACTCCATCCCACCTCCACTATATAGCACTTCCTTCACTTTCCCTCTTTACTTTTCTGAATAGCACCTATCATTGCCTGACGTATTTATTTTTGGTTTGCTACTAGAATGCAAACTCTATTATAGGAAGATTGTCTATTTTGCTCATGTTTATCACTAGTACCTGAAGCACCGTTCTTGTCTGCAATAACACCAATTTCTAAGTATAAAATTAAAAATTTTTTTTCACTTCATCAAAGACAAAAATCTATACTGATTGCTCAGACACATAACCTCAGTCATTTGTTCAACGAATTTCATTTTTCCGAGTAGTCTTCAAAAGTGAACACTTGCATGTTTAGTAGGGTGGGAGGAGTGCTGGGGAAAACCCACATTCTCCTGCGTGCTACGCAAGTGATCTATCACAGAACCACATTTCCAGCCCTGACATACAATCTTACTAAAATATTTTCAGAATGAAAATAGGTTCCAAAGCATTCGTGAAGAATTTCAACTGTCAGAAATGAATGTATGACAGTGTTCAAGCATACAGGCCTGATAGATTAGCAGAATCATACACACATGGCAGAGTCACGTGCCTAATTAAGTGAATATTCCTGTTACATGTTCACCAGCTCATAAACAGATGGTAACCCAGACCAGACTGATGATTCTGCTTGCAAGAAAAAAAATTACATCACCGATTGCAGAACCTTAAGGTATAGATCCAGGCAGGTGACAAATACACAGGAACCAGGATGTGATGGCTGTACCATTCCCACTGCCAGACAAAGATTCTCTCTCTCATGACCAATTCTCAGGGGAATTCTCTGGACCTAATAACCACAATTTTCTGCCTTTGAATTAAGAGCAAGCAGTTTCTGTGGCCACGCCTCAAATACATCTGTGATTTCATCTTAGATCTTTTAAATATTTATTCAGAGAGAGTATATAAAGAACTTAGAATTTTGAACGTACATTGGCTCGCCACGATGAATGCAACAGTAGTAAAAATCTAAAATCAAACACATTGCCTCAAAAAAGATTTATTCACGAATAAATGGATCGGGATTCCTTCAAAGGATCGCCCATCATGGCGGCCTCCAAAGCCAGACTTCCGGGTTGTTACCAGTACCCCTCCCCCCACAAGGCGCGCCAATTAGTCAACCTCAATATCGAGCCTGCAGCTGGCCACCTCACACCCAACAATACTCCCCGAATTCTCAACGTCCTAAACCATCCACCTACCAAAGCTAACCGCTACAAAACCCCTGTTCGGTCACTCATACCCAAATACCCTGTCACTAACACCGCGAACTCCCCCCACCCCGCGAAATATATCCCTATAATTTCTACAGCCCTAAAAACCCATTTCATCACCAGCTTCTCGAATACCCCTTCCCCAAGTCACCAATATCGCTCAAAGACGCACCTTTGGCCACCTTCACCGTCCTCACTCCCGACCGCGTGGCTCCTAGCGTGGCAACCCTCCGCCGCCGCTTCACGTGTGGCTCCACCCCTTGACGAAACGTGCGGCGAGCAGCGCCGGAAGCTCCCCCCGCTTAACGTGCAGCCCCACCCCTTGGCAGGACGCCCGGGCGAGCTGCGCCGGAAGCCACGCCCCCAGCCAGTTGCTAGGCTTGGGCAGCCGGAAGTCCCGCCTGTCGTGTAGTCTCCTCAGACTCTGCCGTCGCCGCTGTTGTTGTTGTGGTCGGTTCGCTGAACTTCACGGCTCAGAGAGCCGGCTGGGTCCACTCCCCTCCGCCGCCATGAAGTGGATGTTCAAAGAGGACCATTCACTGGGTATGTGCTAGACTGCCGGCGGGATGCGGGGGCTGGAGCGGCGGGTGGGCCCCTCCCCCACTCGGGCCGCTCTGGGCCAGATCGGTCGGGGCGGATGCCGCGCTCTGGGCTTCGGTTGCCGAGGTCCTGCTATCCCGGGTGGACGTCCGCTGACTTGTTGCCACCTTTCACGGGATTTTCGGGAGCAAGGGGACGCGAGACGGCGGCTGAGAGGACGCTTGAACGGGGGCTCGCTGCGTGCGCAGGTCGCGGCGGGGAGGAGGGTTGGGGGCCCGGCAACGAAGAACCAGCCTGCTGGCAAGTGCGACAGTCAGCCCGATGTGTTTCTCTTACAGAACACAGATGCGTAGAATCCGCGAAGATCCGAGCGAAATATCCTGATCGAGTTCCGGTGAGTGTTTGGACTCCCCGCCCCCTCACCCCGCTGTCACCCCTGTAGTCTAGGAGCGGCGGTAGAGCCCTGTGTCATTCAACAGTTGACTTTGAGGTTCCAGTCCCAGTTACACCAGCAGACAGGCGGGTTTGTCTAGGGGTCGGGTCGACCCGGGCGTGATGGGTTGGGGCTGGTGCTGTTCCGATGCCCCAGTGCTGAATCTCCCGATGTAGGCCAGCGAGCCGCCTGCTGCCTTGTGGGCTCCCTCACCAATTATGTAAGGAACAATGTTCTAGGACAGGGCAACAGTTCACTGCCACTTTTGGCAACGGTGGTGGAGGGAGACTCATGTCTTGTGAGTGGTACCTTAGACTTAGAACGTCCCTCTTTTTTTTGTCTTTTTGAGACAGGGTCTCACTATGCAGTTCAGGCTGGCCTTGAGCTCACTTTGTAGCCCAGGCTGGTCTCCAACTTACGACGATCCTCCTGCCTCACCCTCTCGAGTGCTGGGATTACAGGCATGAGCCACCATGCCCGGCTTAGAACATTCCTTTTTTAACTGAATATTTTAACAAAGATCCTCCTGCCTCACCCTCTTGAGCTCTGGGATTACAGGCTTGAGCCACCATTCCCGGCTTAGAACATTCCTCTTAAACTGTGAATATTTTAATTTCTGGGTTTCTTTTCAAAGATCTGAAAAGCCACTGAAAACCACTTTTGCCTTTAATCAGTAAATCTGATTTTATGTTCCTTTTTGTTGGGGAGATAAGTCTTTGTTATTCTTTTTGATCTTTAAAGGATACCAAAACATGTTACTGTAGCTCTTTGCTTGTAAACAATTTCTTTTGGGAGGAAAGGGGAGAAATTCAAACTCTGTTTAGAGACAAGCAACAGGCCAAGCCTGAGGTAGATCTCTGAGTTTGAGGTCAGCCTCAACTGCACCGCATAACAAGACCCTGTCTCAGACAAAACAAAACAAAATGCAACGGGCCAAATGAAGGATTTGGTTTTTGACTAGCTGGGATTACCAGACTTTACTTTTAGTCCATTCATTCTTTTTTTTTTTTTTTTTTTTTTTTTGTTTCTTGGGATCATAATCTCTGTAGTAGTGTGGGTCCGTTCGGGGATCCTGCAATAACAGGTTGCATATGAAACTCACATATATTCTTGTGTCTGTCCAGGGAAAATGATTTTTTTTTTCCATTTTTAGACAGGGTCTTACTCTGTAGTTCAGGCCGGCCTTGAACTCACTATGTAGCCGAGGCTGGCCCCCAACTTGAGGTGATCTTCCTGTGTGTGTGCCCTGCCACGCCCACCAGCAAGTGCTGTAGTCATGGATGAGAGATATAATTGACCACAGAAAAGCATTTATGGTTTCTGGGTAACATACTTACATTAATTTTTAATCTTCAGAATGTGTGGTTTATTTAGCCATGGACAAATTTTCTCATGCTATGCAGTGTCCCATGTACTTGTCTACACTTTGTCCATCAGTTTCCTGTCTGTGTGAAGCCAGAACCTCTCACTTTAGAAAATCCAGGCCTGATTTATGTTTACTTTCCCAGGTGATTGTGGAAAAAGTCTCAGGCTCTCAGATTGTTGACATTGACAAACGGAAGTACTTGGTTCCATCTGACATCACTGTGGCTCAGTTTATGTGGATTATCAGGAAAAGGATCCAGCTTCCTTCTGAAAAGGCAATCTTCCTGTTTGTGGATAAGACAGTCCCACAGTCAAGGTGAGATGTCTTTAGTAGATATGCTTTTGGGTGTTGGAACATTTGCTTGCCTGCTTATAGAAATCAAAACTTTAGGGGCTGGGGATTTAGCTCAGCGGCATAAACGCCTGCCTTGCAAGCAGGCAGTCGTGAGTTCGATTCCTGGTACCGATAAAAAGGAAAAAGACAAAAAAAAAAAAAAAAAAAAAAAGAAATGAAAACTTTAGAAGTCTGAAACTCTTAAGACTACAAATCTGGATTTTATGTTCTCTGATATCAGTAGGTCCAGGAAATAATTAATGGCAGCAATACATGCTTGTACACTTTGGATTTGGAAAATAGAACATGGCTTCAAACTTAGAAGAAAAAGCCGGGTGTGGTAGCTCATGCCTGTAATCCCAGCACTCAAGAGGGTGAGGCAGGAGGATCGTCGTGAATTGGAGACCAGCCTGGGCTACAAAGTGAGCTCAAGGCCAGCCTGAACTGCATAGCGAGACCCCGTCTCAAAAAAAAAAAAAAAAAAACAGAAGAAAAGTAGCACAGCCTCAGCAATATTGCAAGTCAAGTAAATGATGACTTTTTTAGGCTTAAGCCATAGGGAAAACTGAGGCCCAAAATGAGTTTTTTCCTAATGACCCATGAAGTGAGCTCTATTGCTCTCCACCAAGAGCTCAGTTTTAATTAATCCCCAGCCTGTTTGCTCTCTATGTACTGTTTTGAGTGTTGATATCTGCCTGATTCTTCAGTCAATAAAAGTGGAAGTCTTTTATAAATTTAAGGGCTGTGAATGTAGCTTGGTGGTACGGCACTTGCCTGGCAAGCATGAGGCACTGAGTTCAAGTCACAGTACAAAAAAAATTATATATACACACACACACACAGAAAAAAACTTTATATAACTATATATATATAAATATATATATAAATTTAAACCTCTGGCACATCCTGCTTTGACTGTCACTTTGTTTTGATTGTTATGCTGCTTAGAAGCAATCTTTAATTATAAATTGGGGCTTATATCTAGGTAGAGGCATTACAATTCCATTTTCAGTGTAGTTGACAGCCCAGCTTTTAGTCTCCTGTGAAAAAAAGAAAATGGACTGACTAGCTGTCTACAGCCTTGGTCAGGCTTTTCACAGTTCAGATTGGACAGCAAGCCAGATTCTGGAGCCTGCCTCTCCTGTCTACGTAAATTCTTGGCCACATGTTATCCTAGTGAACCAAACTAGGTTTCATGTTACCCTCCAAAGTAATACTTCTAAAAGCAAAGGCTTTCAAAAACCTGGGGAGCTAGTTCAGTTTATAAGAATATATACCTGTTGAAAATCCTTGAAAATTTCAAAAAACATCTAAGACAAATTCTGTACCTACATCTACTAAAGGTGGAAAGATCTGTCTACTTTTTAGTCTAGTTTCTTCTTTCCCAATCTCCTCTACCTTCACTTCCTGATTTTTGGCAGGAAGGTAGCACAGAAAAAAAAAACGGAACCTTCTCTCCTAAGACCAATGTCTAGACAGAGAGCAGAGGCCATGGCCTACCCAGTGAGTTCTGTTGGTCTATTCTGGAAGCTATGGTGTTCTGGGGGCTAAACCTGTCACCTTTGGGATTGTCTGGCCTGGCTTCACAGGCTCAGGAGTGTGTTGCTAGGTGCATCCTGTATCAGGGGAGGAAACTTGAGGCAACCATGGTCTCTTCAGCTCCCTTACAGTGGTGGGGAGGTCACTTTTCTTTCATACCACCTGGAACTTATAGAGAGCCTTAGCGACCTTTGTTTCTTCCTTCCTAGAGGGTAGCTTAGAGGGAGGAAGCAGGTGACTAGGACTTGTGGCATTGTTTATTTTCCTCATTTCTATCCTTTGGTATTTGAAGGAAATGAAGCAGGCCCTGGAGACCTTAAAATTTCTTTGATGACTCCATCGTAATCTCAAAATTAAAATGGGTATAGGTCTTACCAGCTGCCCTCTACCCTTTATCTTTGAGGTATAAATAAGATTGAAGAAATAAGTAGGATTGGAAGTGAAAAGTGTTTCTCAGGACAGCTGAGGCTACTTCAAGGCCATTTCTTCAAATTCCATTTGCCTTTTTCTCTGGGGAGAATTCATCCTAAAGCTGATTACATATGACTAAGTCAGGATTTTACAAGGTGACCAGGAATTCAACTTCTGACTAAGATGCAGCAGTATCAGCCAGGGCCCCTTTTTCCAGGTCTTCAGCACTTTTGAACCCTGATGATTGCCTTGCTCATTCCTTGAGATAGGATTTTATTATGTAGTCCAGGCTAACTTTGATCTTACCTATATAGCCCACTAGCTTCTGGGATTCTAGTCGTGTGCCACCAATACTTTGTTCATTTTGGGATTTTATTCTTGAAAAAAAGTTTATATATAAACTAATGGTGCATGTGACATTATTAGGCTTTATGCAAATATAATCACCTATAGCCGCACAAAGAAAGTGCTGTAGGGTTGCCTTCCTAAAGCTGATGTGTGATTCAACTTTAGTATCTCCTCCCCAGTGGAGTTTAGCCCCTTCTTCAGCTCTTTCCAGCCTCCTGTAACCTTCACTTAGTGTTTGCAGCCCGTGACTGGAGAAATCAAAGTAGAGAAAGAATGGATCCATGCATGCAGAAGCCCTTGTTCTCCTGTAACTGACACATCTACACACAAGGATCATGGGAGTAACTTCATTTATTTCTGCCTTATAGCTGGACGTGGGT